TGAACGCAAAACACCCGTCATCTATGGCGGCGTCACTTACATATGGTTAATTATAAATACGTATACGCCTTTTTAAAACTTTCTTGCGTTATTTTTGCTGCAAATAAGCTCCAAAAACGTAAAAACTTATTTGAAGACAACCCTACTTAAGTGGCGCCACCACCGCAGTTCCGACGACGGCCGCTTCATAAGTGACCGCTGATGATCCGGCAGGCAAGGGAAATCAAGGAGGCTGTGGTCTGGATTATAAAAGTGCACATAAGCACCTCTTGTCCGCATGACGGCTCCAGCTACATTCCTTGTTCAATGACTTCTCATCGATTCAAGCCTCTATCTATACCTCTGTATTGTTGGGAGTGATTATGAGGACTCATTGGTGCAGGGCGAAGCATAAGCAAAGCTCATATCCCAATCTACCACAAAGCTGATTTCAGGTAAAAGTTGAGGCAGAGGGTACAATGTTTGCGCGAACAAATGAAAAAAGCTCAAATATGAGTGAATGCGGTACGTAGTAGCCGGACAGTTTGGAACATATATGTGACATGTAGCGCGGTCATGTATATCTTTTCTTTCATGCTTAGACGTTTTAACAGGTGTTTCGCGTGGCAGTGTTAGGCCATCCAGACCAAAATCTTCGTCGCCCCACCGTGGCTAAGGTACTCGGCTGCTGACTCGCAGGTCACGGGATCGAATCCCGTCTGCGGTGGCTACGTTTCGGATGGAGGCGGAAATGTTGTAGGCCTGTATGCTCAGATTTGGGTGCACGTTAAAGAACTCCAGGTGGTCGAAATTTCCGAAGGCCTCCACTACGGCGTCTCTCATATAGATATGGTGGTTTTGGGACGTTAAACCCCACATATCAAAAATATTCGTCGTAGCCACCCCAGTGCCTCAGCCGTTGCAACAGTTGCGCTGCTCGGCTGCTGCCCAGAAATACGCCCTCTTTTCCAGTTGTCAGCATACATGTATACTGCTGATACCAATAACGGCATCGCATACGTCATTATTGAGCGATCTTAGCCATTTCTGGGAAACCGGAATTCGTTTAAGCATGCTGCGGGTAAGGGTCGTTATTATTCGGTGCCGTACGTTTTCAGTTCCATCAGCTTTGCGTTCCGAAGCCCATTTATTTTCAAGGTTAATAGAGCAGTTCTGGCCGCAGGTAACTAGGTCACCGATGCAAAGGGAGTGGCAGTGTAGCGGCAGCCCTGACTCCTCAATACCCACCAAAATTATGGTTTTTTTTTTTCTTAGAGCACGTACACCATGTTGTAAATAGCGGCGTTCTTTTTGAGGAGGTCTGCACCACGGGAGGTCGAGTAAGGAGGAATGAAAAATCTACGCAGTAGTAATTGTTTGTAGGCTGCAAAATAAACCATAGCCATGGACTCGTACTACACACGCGTAATATAAGGAAACTGGGATATATAGGTTCGGACGCCTAAGCACACATGGCCTCACTTGGCAGTAGTTTGGGCAACAAATAACTCACCTTAATTCCACTGCTTTTCGTGAGACGACGTCACTTCTTTGTTACTTCCGCGTCTACAAGTGAACGTCTTTACATCTGAACGTATACGTTCATACTTCGGCCTTAATATCTTACTTTAGGTCAGTGAAAGGTTCCTTGAATTCGGCCGGCTATGTTTAGTTGGGCTTTATATTCGTGGCCCGACAATGGAGCTATTCTTTTGTCTGTTCTCTCGTTTTTCGCGCTGTTTCTTTTTCATTATGTCGTACCAACACGCCCAAGCAACCACCTTAGAAGCTATTCGTTCGTTAATGGTGTTTTCCGTTGGTCCACCGACTTCCCTCATAATAAGTAGAGCTTCGCTATTAGCTTAAATGTGTTCTTTGGCACAGTTTCGACGTATAGGCACTTTGGCGGGAGTGGCGTATGCGCTGTGAATTCACAACTGTTCTAGTTCATAGCAGCTTTCCTTTCATCGGGTGGTATTATTCGTTATCAACATGTCCAAGATCGCGATTCCTTGATTTATTGAATGTCATTGTTTAGGCATATTGAGGGCAGCTCGTAGCATACCAAGAATTCTTTTTTTTCTCTCTCTTTTGTCATGCTGCGCTGTGTCTTAAGGCGCGTAACATGCTTGCGTGGACTACCTGAGACTCCGCAGTCTTTAAGAAAGGAAAGAAAAAAAAAACAACCCAAAGCAGCAGTGACGACGCTGGTGTAATCTGCATAAATCATCTTGTGTAACGGCGCTCACGAAACGAGCTTGATCGCGTCGCGGACCGGTTTCGCCCACGCCCCCTCGCACGGCGTTTAAGTACGGATAAATAGCCGTTATTAACCGTAATTCATGACCCCGACTAATTGCTCCCCGCCCTGCGAATATAAGAGAAGGAAGATGAGAAAGAAACAAGAGCAACAGAGTTCTTGGACGGTCACGAAAACTAGAGAAGTAGTAAGCTAGCCTCAGTGCTCACGTAGGCTTTCAGTGCTTTATAGAACATTGTGCAACCAAACCACACGCAGCGAAGAACGTGCACGTGCTGGAGCCGCGAAAATGAAAACACTTCTACTCGCGCGGACGTGTCGGATTGATTCGCCAACTGTGACGTGAAACACATTTACTAGCAGGAAATACCGCCCCCTTGGTATACGCTGTCCGCGGCGAGGCGTACAGGTTCGACAGGCTGCAAGCGTAATGCCATCATTGCCATTATCCACCAGCTTAAGCGTAGAAAAAAATTCATATGGAATAATTACCCATATTTCTGTTTGTCTCGCTCCACTGAATTCCTGAACGTTGCGTTACGATTAAGCGAATGCGCTACACGCGCGGTTTGTGCATAGGAAATAAGAAACAGCGTTCCAGGAATGTGCAGTGTCCTTGTTTCAGTGATTACACACTGGGTAATACATGGAGGACTGTACGTGTTGAGTCTTTACATAGGTTTTGGTGAAATGTATCTGTTCCAAAAAAGGAGGCCTCACCACTGTGCATGTCGAGGTTTCAAATGCCGCTGAGTGAACATGAAATAAAAAAGTGGACCTCATTAATTATAAATGACGAATTGGAGCCAAGTCGAGAAAATATTGAGAAGATGGGTGACTAGAGTAAAAAGACGACTGCTAAAAAAACGAAATAAAAAACAAACAGACAATTCAACTACGAGCAGTGCAATCATGGTCTTTTCTTCGGCTATTGGGTGAACAACTGTTTAAAGAACAGATTGGGCTTAATAGCTGAATATTTGAAGAAGCGCGAACCTTCTTGAAGACTGTGATGGAAAACTGTTGGTGATAATGTACCCAACGAGTTGCAAAAAAAAAAAAATGGAAATCCAGCGCTATCAAAACGGTTCTACCGCGACCTTCGATGTTGAGGCGTCAACGTGACAACGCCGACTAATATTTGAGTTTTTTTTTTCATAATCTAAACAAGTAGTAAACGACAACATCTATTAGCTGGCAAAATAACTTTTGCGTTCGTCTTGTCAATGCCCTCCTTTCTTAGTCTCGCGCGTTCATCGCGTAACCCAAAAGTATGCACCCTACATTACAGTTTCATAATGGTACCCCTGAGAGAAATGTGGCGCTAGTGTCTATGGGATCTGCAACGCCTGATGCTTCAGCCAGGATAAGAATTATGAGTAGTATATGAAACTGCCTAAGCTTCTCTTTCGGCCCTGTGTGGCCTGCAACCACATTGTAACAAGAAGCAGTATACACCTAAAGTTCAACGGTCCCACGACGCCACATTCACCCATGTGTTGTCACCAATTCAAATTGGCTCGCGAGTTTCCCAAAGAACAGTTGTTTTATCCGAATCATCCAAAACACAACAGCAGACAAAGGCACAAAAGCGTTCCAAGCTGCGCAAGCACTAAGACTAAGTAGGAAGGAACGTGAGGAGATGGGAAGGGATCATTACGCATTATTACACCGTATGGTGAGGTATAATGTATAATGATCAGTTACCAACTGATTCAGCTCTCAATGTTATCGATCATTACCCATCAATGTATTGCCCATAATGTCCATGATGAATGAACGATCGCAACGCCACAGTACCCGCTCGTAAATATTATAGTACGCTATAAGCGCACTATATACCACCTAGCTCGCGTTACGTACAACACCATTTTTCCTCATCTGCCCGTCTGTCAAATAATAAAAAAAAGTAGATCGCGAACGTGGCTGGAACCGAACACACAGCACAGCCGCACACGCACTTGAACACAAATGTGAAATATGCGTTAACAAGTGGCAGGAGCACGAAGTTTTAAGTCGGCGTTCATATCTATAACAGGAGCCGAGTTCACCAACATCTTCGTTCTTACAGACGCTGCTGTTTTTGGACCGGTTGGTTTCACCATCGGGGCCCGTGTTCATAATTGTCTCTTAAGCAAGAGTTTCTTTTTTTTTTTTACGAGCGTATAAGCTTTTAGCCAACTCTATAGATTTAGATAATCGACGACGGTGACCCGCCAATGGCAAAAAGGATTCACGAACTAACAGTTCTTTCTTGAATTTGGCCCCAAACTTGAATGACATCGGTGGTTGCAAAAACAATTGATTACGAGAAAAATTTATCATTAGGGGTGTCATTCTGTCTCACTTTAGCTGTTCGCATTATAAAGCATATTCCGTGCGTCTATGAAATGGCAAGTTCGAACGTAAAGTGGCACTTAGGAAAACGTTGTGGTTACTGAACAAAATATGTGCATTGTCCATGGGAAGCGATCTGCGCCCGTATTCACAAAAATGCCTTACGCTAAACTTTTTCGTATTAGCATACTCCAGCCAATCAAGATGCGGGACACATCATTAGCGAAGCTGGCTTACCGACGGGAAAAATGCACTTACTAAAGGAAATTTTTGTGAACTCAGCCCGTCTCCAAATCGAAAAGCCGCGATCTAGTTATTAAAAATCAGAAAATGAAGTCCTCGCGTGCAAACGTAATTCGATGAAAATGAATGTGATATTCACGCCCTGAAAAAAAAAAAGAAAGAGAAGAGAAACTCGTCTTACCTCAAACACGTGGCTCCGCCCATGGCTCCCGTTCTTCAAGTTCGCGCCGCTATGATGGGGAGAGCCCGGAGGAGCTCTTCGAGCGTTCGATGACGTCAGCCGGCGACAAGTCCTTTCGCAACGTACACTAGCTCGGAGAAGCTCGCCGCGGTCCACCACTTGCGTCGCTTTTTACGACAGTCGGTCGGTCTGTCGAGGCGCCGCGCAACCACCGCTTCCTGTTCAGAGCGCGTCCGAGTCCCGCGCGAGACGGCGACAGAAGACGACGTCGTCAACGGACGGGCGGGCGGACGTTTTTGTGGTCGACGCTAAATTTGCCGCCGGTCACAACTCACGACGCGGAGCAGTGCCATCTTTTCGCGCGAAGACAAAAGCTGGGACGAAAAATAATGCCCCGCTCGGGCATCGAGCGTGTAGTACGCAGGCACGCGCGAAACGAAGAACGAACGGGGAGGGGGGGATATCGTTAATGGTGGCGCTGGAGAGACTGTGTGGTGGTGCAGGAACTCTATACTCCAACGTGACGTTTAGGAGACAGTCCGTGATCGCTTTGTGGGGAAAAAAGCAAGACGGAGAGGCAAATGCGCCTGCTGCCGATGTCGTCAACGGGGATGAGCAGGAGAGGAAAAGAAGAGAGAGTGACGCTCCTCGGGTATCGTGTAGCGGTCTTACTGAGCATCCGCTCCCGTGAGCCACCGTGCCGAACTCGTGGCGCTACCATGTACGTGCGCTCAAGTGTGCATGCACACCGCTTCTCTGTCGTCGCTGAAAGAAGAAGCTTTGGAGGAGGGATACGGCTGTATAAGCTATAAGAGCTCGGGTGCCAGTGGAAAACAGAAGCGAACAACCGAATAAAGGCACAATTCACGGGAGGAGTCGGAGGAAGGCGGTGCGCGGAACGATTACGCAAGACGTGTCGATCGCCGCTGTCTAGCTAGAGGGCGGCGAGTCAGTCGGGTGTGGGGGAGGCGATGGCGAAAGAAGGGTAAGCGAGCCAAGTTGGACGTCGGAGGTGTCTTAACGCAGCAGGCGCAAGCAACACCGTCCGTCACGGACCACCCAGCGGACGCCGCACGGGGGCCGAGCCTATTCTCCGTCGGGTTGGTGCGTGCCCTCCCGCGGCGCTAAGCGCTTAGTAGTCGTCGCCGCGGTCGTAGTAGTCGCCGTGGTCCGGCAGGCGCCGCGCCAACCTTTTTTCTTCCGTGCGGCCGCTGACGAATCCATCGGCCAAACAGCAGCGGTAGCGGCGGCGTGCCTGGGCGCGCGCGCTGCGCTGCTCACCGGGCCACCTGTGGAGGCGCACGACTTACAAACAGAAAGGGGGCGGCTGCTGGCTGCCGAGGGAGATGCATGCACCCTTCGCGGCGATCGCTGGAGGGCGCTTGCGACGTCGTCAACGACGTTTGCGTGCCTAGCGAGAACCACCAGCTCGCTTTCACAAACCTCGCCGAGAGAGGGGCGCCAAGGGTCCGTCGCTCCTCCGCCTTGCTCCCGCTGCTCTCGAGAAGAAAACGCCGAGCGCCTCACTGCCACGCTGGGGACGCCAAGGCTCCCCCCCCCAAGTACATCGAGTCAAGGGGGGGGAGGAGAAGCGGGGGAGGGGAGTGCATGAAAGGACTTCTTGCCCGCGCACTCTCTCCGTTTCTTCTCGAGGAACCCCTTCCTCGTCCAATGCTCTTTCGGTGCCACACACACACACACACACACACACACACACACACACACACACACACACACATGTGTGTGTGTGTGTATATATATTTGCTGTGTGAGTTCGCGACGTTTCTTAGATGCATCGGCGTCTGTGCGCGGCTGTCGTCGTTTGTGAGCAGGCCGAGCACATCTCTTGTTTTCCATTTGTATAGCTTACGTGATGCTATATAGCTGGAGTGTCACGCGCTCCTCGGGCTTCCGCGTCGCAGAATCGAGGCGATAACGAACGCGTCCTGCAGCAGAGGTCGTCAGACGCCATAGTATAGGCGTGACATTGCAAGCGAATTTTTTCGTAATTGAAGATATACAGTGTCTATACCGTGTGTGCGATGCTCCTCGGTTGGATGGGTAGATTGGTTTGGTTTGGAAAAACTTTGTTAACAAAAGTCTTGAGGCGTATTTCCTAGTACAGAGCGAACCACTCCCACGACGAGACAGTAAGGCACTGCCGCAGTGCTTTATACAGCTCAAAGATGGAAACGCCTTATTATGGTCTCGGAACGTGCTAACATGTTGTTGGCCGCTGCATCGTCTGAACAGAAAGACCAAAGTCTCTTCGCTGCATCTCGTTCCATATCTGTTCTTCAAGCGTGGAGCTGGTAATAGCATCTTACCCGGAGGCTATTATGAATAGACGAGCATGAGAGATGGAAGAGACACATAAATTCGCAAACAAGAAATCAACCAAGGTAACAAATTCTAGTAAACGCAATTATAATGACTTCAGACTGGTTTTACTCGCTTAGTTGCTATGGTTCTTGTCGGAAACGGACTGCACTAGCGAGCGGGCAGGTCACAGCCCGAAGGCTAATTAATCGACAACCGATGGCGACATGATTTAAATCCAAACAACGCAAAATCAAACGCGGACAGTGGGAAGAACTAATGGACAAAGCACAAGCGTTGACTGTCGACAGAATTTTGACTGAAAGGGAAACATATGCAGCGATACATTATCGAAGAAACAGATTGAACATACCGAGAACATCATGCAATCTTCCCCTTTGCATATGACGGGCCTCCTTTTTGCACAGAAGCCAACGTCTTTTCTCTTACAATGTGTTTTTCTGTTATAGTGAGTGATTTATGGGTGGCTGATTCAATTAGGTTATGCGGCATGCGATGAAGCGAATTACGTGCTCTCTATGTCTCAAGGTAGTGTTAGCGCTGCCATATTCTGGCATGCAGCCACACATGCGTCAGTGTTGTCCCAAGTTGTCTCGTTATTCTTTATTCTGTTATAGTGCGTCTTTAGTCTAATATCCACCCAACCCACGACTTCTCAAGATTCGAAGCCTAACACACAATTTTAGTATTACAATCTACGCTACCGTGGTTTGTGCTTCACCGTACAGCCTTTTTTTTTCTGCGCAACCCTTCAACAACGCTGCCAACGCTTTGGCAGACATGACGCTCATGGGGCATTGTTATGATTCACCTCCCTCACATGGCAGCGCTTGGACGTGAGATGGTTGCGCGACAGCGCCCCCAGAGATGAACCACAAGCGACAACGTCACGCAAGCCATACTTGGAATTTTGCGGTGCAGTCGTCTCTTCTCGTAAAACCCTTTGAACTTACCCGACCGACTGGCGACCTATGAAAGGTTGTTTAGAGTCAAAACGGCTTAAAAAGGGTGTTAATCATACGTCTCTTCGTCGGAGTGCTACGGACAATAAGCCAAACGACTGAGAACCATCTGCGGACAAATTTCCCATAGTGCCTATCACCGCTGTTTCCACAAGTCGTGGTCTGCTTGGCGCCGCATACTCATCGGTGCAACTGTCTACCCAGTTCCTTTCCACGCAGGACTCAACGTCTTCGTGCGGTGCTGTGTTGAACGTGGTGTGCAGTGTTTCCTCCCTCGCCATTGGGTGAACTGGCTGTGCCTCTTCCCTCTTTCGTGGGTTGGGAAGGAGGCGGCGTTTCACCTTCCCCCTTTCGGGGGTGGAGGTTGTTGCGTATGACGGACCGATCCCGCCGAAGCCACCACTGTTGCGAAGGCGGACCGATCCCGCCGAAGCCACCACTGTTGCGAAAGACGGCGACGCCAACACGGCCCCGGAGGCGCCACTGCTTTCAACTCCGCCGGGAAGGTCACCAGCCGTTTGGTAGCGTATGTTTATCAGCTCGCGACTGCTTCTGCGCAGAGCTGATAAGACGAGCGGACGAGACGACGGTGAGTTAAACAAGGTTTATGTACAGCATATTTACAGAGGCGTTACAATTTCGGCACTGGGGCCGACAGAGACTCGAAGAGCCGAGCTCTCCTCTCTAACACATAGGTCAGCCTTTCGCCTAAGACCGCTGACTCACACACATGTCGGCACTCCGACACGGGGACTCCTCTCTCTAGGACTGCCGATCGCGACGCGCCGCAGGGCTTCTTTTATTTACACCGGGTCCAACCAAAATGTCCAATCAGAAGCGCCGATGGTCGTCAGGGCAGATTCTTCCAATGGGGTTGCCGCGCCATGCGTCAGACCACCAGACACGAGAACGCCGGCTCGCTGTCACGTGCGCCGCTGACTCAATGCACGTGGGCGAGAGAGGCGCCGCGCGTGTTCACGCCGTTGAGATGTTCGCGTCAGGCGGACTGCGGGCTGGCCTTGACCCAGATTGCCTTTTTCCGAGGCACGGACGTTTGACGAGGACTCGCTGGCATAACAGCACCCCCGCCGCCAGACAATGCACCGGAAAGACGAGCTGCTTCCACGGGGCTCGGATGTCAGGTGCGCTCGTTCGCCAGGTCCCTCCAGGTTCGCCTCCAGGGCCATGGGGAGAATACAGCTCCAGACTGTTCCGGGAACACGTCCCATTTTTGACGACGGATCCCAGCTCCACTGGCTTGTCGCCACAACTTGTCGACCAGCTTCACTCGTCTCTTCTGACCATCTTCGGTTTCAGCACTTGTCGATGGTTCTGCAACTTGCCAAGAACGGATCGACAACAGACAACACACGACACAAGCAAGTGCCCTCGGTCACCCAACAGAACACCAGACAAAGTATAGTACAACATATACCTATCTACGTGTCTATCGGAATTTTGTTCCCTCTACATCAAGAGGCACATGTGGGACACAAGACTCTTAAAGTAAGAACTTGAATTTTTCACACTTACAACAACGCAACGAATTAGAATACCACATAAAGCTGGCCCCTTGAGATCACTCTGAACGAGAGCGCTCAGCCCAGGTCGGGATGAGGTCAAAATTTTGCCCCGAATCGCCAGCGAGAAACCGAAAGGTTGAGAAGTTACTAGCTGGAACGCACTGCTCAATGCACCTGCATTAGCGTTTACCTTTCCTTTTTTTTCTTTAGCGAACGTCAAAGTTGCGCTGTGGAGCAACATGCTCCACTTCAGTAACCGGCCACTTTTAGGCGACGATACCTATGCGGCACCAAGAGCGGCTCACACTTTCGACGTTGCACAGGGGAACAACGATACGGCTTGCTACGGATTGACTCCTCACCGCTTAGCTCGATATCGTGTTCGATCACCCTCATGTTTCCGGGGCGGTCCGAAAACACGTCTTCAAACTCGGAACCAATCTTTCTCAGGTCCTCTTTCTCAGGTCCTCCTTCACTTACGCTAGGCTCTAGGTTTATCTGCTCCCGGATTACTTTCGATCCCCCTTCGATCACCTCACTAGAACTCAAATTTTCTGCTTCCTCTTCCTCTGAAGCCTTCAACAGCTGATTTACGACCGCTTGATGTTGAACATTGGGTTTCATCAAGTTGTAAATTTTGTTCTGCCGCCTTCCTACTTGCACCTCATAATTTGTATCGCAAGGCTTCGATAATACTTTGGCGGGCCCTTCCCAAT